GTCAATTCGGAATCAAATCTCAATAGCACACCGCCAAAAGCCATTCCAGGCCAAAAGCTTAGTCAAGCATTGAAACAGCATTGCCAGCTTGCGGTTCTGGTATCTCCAAAAAAATCAAAATAAAGGATGTCCATTCTCATAAAAGCTAAATCCCAATAGTACACTTACAGGAGAGTGGAAAATTTTTACGAAATCGTTGTAATGAATTATATGCCTAGTTATATTTAGTTATATTAAGAATCAGAAAATATGAAAATATAACCTATCAATTCGGAGTCAAATCCCAATAATATACCGCCAAAAGCCATTCCAGGCCAAAAGCTTAGCCAAGCATTGAAACAGCATTGCCAGCTTACTGCTCTGGTATCTCCACAAAAAAGAAAATAAAGGGTATTCATTTTTATAAAACCTAAAATTCCAATAATATATTTGTAAGAAAAAAAAAAATCACGAAATTATTTCCCTAGTTATATTTAGCCATGCTAGGAATCAGAAAATAAGAAGGTACGACCTATTAATTCGGAATCAAATCCCAATAGTACATCGCCAAAAGCCATTCCAGGCCAAAAGCTTAGTCAAGCATTAAAAAACAGCATCGCCAGCTTGCGATTCTAATATTTCTAAAAAAAACAAAATAAAAGGTATCCATTCTCATAAAAATTAAAATTCCAAATACCCATTTACAGGTGAATAAATAATTTTTACAAACGCAATTCAAAATTAATCATATTAAAATCATACCCTGCCCTACTATAACGGAATCCGATACATATGGAATATAAATGTAATACCAAAATCATAATTTTAAAAAGATTTTTAAACGAAATATCGGAATTACATTTTACCATCCCAAACAAAACCCACCCCACGTATCCCCACGTCAGATCAAAAATAATAAATAGTAGAAAGATCCAAACAACAAAATTCGGAAGATAAGGTAGAGGAGGATAATGTTGCGGAAAATAAGGTAGAGGATGATAATATGGAGGATAATGAGGTATAGGATAATAATGTTAAGAAGGAGGAAGATAATAATGTTAAAGATAATTATGTTAAGGAAAAAAATAAAAAAGATAATAAATAATATTACAGAAGAGGAGGTAGAGGAGGAGGAGGAGGATAATGCAGAAAACGAAGTAGAAGATAACGATATTAAGGATAATAATGTCAAGGGCGAAGACGAGGATAATATTGGGAATAATAATCTAGAGGATATTAAAAAGGAGGAAGAGGAGGAGGACCATTACAACCCCCCCGAATGTGTTCATTTTGTGTAGGAAATTTACATTGCTTTTTACGTTACTCCAGGAATTATTAGGAGGCAAATAAATATAATTTAATATAATTATTATTTGCCATATTAAGAATTCCTACGTACCCATATGTTATACTGTAAAAATCATTTCAAATAATAAATCATATAGTAATTTATTCCAGTGGTTATATCATTTTTTCCGCATACTACGTCAAAATAAAACAACAAAATAC